CCGAATTTGCAATCCAAACTTGCAACCTATTCTATTCGATGAACAATTGCCTATATCAGGATTCTTATATATATTCTTCCTAAATTGTTTCAAAAATCAGAGAATTTCTAGCTGCAGCTTGTGCCTCCAAATTCTGGACTTAGTTGTAGAGAGCAATTAAATAATTGTAGATCAAGCTTTCTTTTCTTTTCTTAAGCATCTAAAAACAAAAACTTAATTAAAAACCACTTGTCTTTAAATATATATACTCAAAAATGAAAAAAATAAAATGTATTGGCAGAGCACTTATCTCAAGAATACAACAAGCAAGGTCTATTACTTGCTATATCAATGGAAATAAGTTTCTAACCTACTTATATAAGGAACCATAAACATTGAAAAGAAAAGAAGAAAATATAAAGAGAAAATATCTATTTAGACTAAATATATAGTGTACCAAAGTAGATGATCGGCTAAGCTTCAGATGTTTAAATTAGACAAAACTTAGTGCATAGTCCAAAAAGTATACATATCTTCGAACTACTAACTAAGAGACAAGCAAAAAGATTTTGACAAAAAATGTTTTTAAATAATAAACTATTAATAAAAGAAACAGAAAAGTTAAAAATGTGAAAGTATCAAAGAAAAAAAGACAAAAAAAAGAGGCTTAAACTAAAAGTTAGAAGAGAAAAAATTTTAGTTGAATAAAAAACAAAACTAAAGAAAATAAATAATAAAAAATTGCTATTGTTCTAAAAGAAAATCAATAAACAACTAGCTATAACAAACAATAAATACAAGATAACTATCAATTAGTAAATATAAAATAGAAACAAAGAAATTTTAATAAAGAAATATAAGAAAATCAAAGAAATAAAAAGAAATCAAAGAAATTAGAAGCATTTAGAACAAGTAAGAAAATTAATTGATTGATATAGAAATTAAATACAAATAATTGCTAAATTTAAAGAGATGTGGTGACTTAGTGAAGTAGTCAAGTTGTCACCCCCAAGCGGCACGTCTAGAGTTCGAATCCTGTTGCTGGCGAATTTTCAAATTTCTATCTGTGTAATAACTATGATCTTTCCGGTTGAGGCTGTGTTATGCACAGTACTCATTAAAGTTGAGGCTCAGTCCTGTAACCTGGTATATACCAATTTAACCAAATTGGAAGGATCTATAGGCATTCGTATGATGTATAAGTTATACAAAGTCATGCAAACTGACAAAGAGCGGTGCAAACCCATGATAAGTCTTTATGATCAGATAATTCCTAGAGACTTTGGCAAGATCGGTGCCTGTTTGGCAAGACCCGAGCGGAGAGGTAGTGCAGTCTTAAGTGCCTGAGTGAACTCCATAAGGGTAGAGTGATTCAGAAGCGGTATAATCTGTCTGTAAAGGTAAAGAATTTATTCGATAAAGAATTCTTCTATAAGGTAGTTTGGAAGTGGTGTAACCTGCCTATAAAAGTATAGAATTTATCTAATAAAGAACTTCCTATAGTTGATCAATAGCTGCCAGGTTCGCTGGTAGAAGGGGTCTGCCTTCTCGACCATTATACAATCCAAAAAAATCTAGGTCAGACGTTAGATAACAGGCGGAATAGATGACACTAGTTGGATATCCTCTTCCCTTACTATAACTAGTTGTACTTTAAATTAGTTCTTTAATAGAAAATAAGGTGTGATTTGCTACATGAAAACAGTTATATAAGATAAATAAATAGTTAGAATAGTATCACCTTGATACAAAAATTGTAACTAAATATTATATACATGGCAAAATCAAAAATTAAAAAAAAAAAAAAAAAATTGCCAAATTTAATAAGCAATATGACATTGCTATTTTTAGAGAAAAAAAAAGCACAAAAAAACTATGCAATAATACAATTTTTATGCAGATACATAGATAAAATTTGTGTCAATATGTGAAAAAATTTGTATAAGCATGTATTTAAAATTTGTGCAAGCATATATTTAAAATTGATAAATATATACAAACACATGATTTGCAATTTGTATAAACATGTGGTTTAAAGCATGAGTTGTATGTCAATTAAACAAAATATAAATAATAGAAAACATGGGTTAAACAGAGCAAACATGTGAGTAGTAATTAATTAATTAATTAATTGCTATATAGTTACAATTAATTTAAGAAATTACAAATTTTCGCAACACAATAAGAGGAACAGAAGATATATAAAAGATGAAATTTTTTTCTTCTTTAAGGCTAATAAAAATTACAAAAAACAGACCAAAATGACTATCCAAAACAACAACCAACAATTTATCCAATCTACTATTTCCTTGACAACTAAGTATCTGCTTGGCTAAACCTCAAAATCTATAATTAAATTAAGGAATTTAGACAATTTCTTTTTTATTATAAATATAAAAAAATTATTATCTTTGAACCTAAAAATACTATTATTATAAAAAGTATAGAAAAATCTGTCAACTTTTTCCAATTTTCTAAAGACAAGCTGGATAGAATTAAAAAGAACTTGGTTTATACAACTCCTATTCAAATTAGCCTTGTAATTGTCTCCTACTCTAGTGTTGAATCTTGAGACAAATGCTTTGATACTACTTATAACAAATATTAAAAGGCTGCTAAACAACAAAATAGTAAAGGTCGTATTTATGTCTTGGTCTATGCCTATTACCTAGAAGAGTTGTTAACTGAAAAGCCTAAAGGAAATTTTGTTAATATTTTTTATAATCAGAAGAAAACTTGAACTTAAGTTTATATTCTATTTTATCATATAGATTATAAACAAATCTATCGAACAAAGAAAATTTCTCTTTGAATCTTAAACAAAATAAATGCTTTGGAGTTTCAAAACTTAGTGATTTATGTCCAAGCACTTAGAAACAGAAATTAAATTTGCAGAATAAATTTTTAAAGGCAGAAGAAGCTGTTATACTAATATTTGTAATGTTGTACAAATTAGTCATAGAATATTATTTCATATTATATATTATATTTTATATTTTATCTTTCATCTTTTATATTAGTTAAATTATATTATTTAGATATATTTTATTAGAATAGAATAGTTAGAAATATATGCCAGTGTATGCTATATACTAATGTATGCTATATATCACTGTATACTATATGTTACTATATACCATATGCTAGTGTATGCCATATGTTACTATATACTGTATATTAGTGTATATTATATACCAGATATGCTATCTGCTATATGGTTGTACTATATACTAGTATATGCTACCTGCCATAGTTGTATGTCAGCATATATCATCTGCTATATGATTGTATGTCCATATATACTACTTGGATATATACTGGTATATATCACTTCTACAGATATATAAAGAGAAGTTTGTCTCTTTAGTTCTTGCAGATATCTTTTTCTACAATTTCTACTTTCCCTTAGATATTAGATTGGCCTTCTAATATCTGTACTCTCCTCTTTTAATATGAATTATATTATCTGTATTATCTGTACTATCTGTATTATCTGTATAATTTATTTGTACCACTTTATTACAAAATAAACTATTTTATATCTGTAAATATTGTCCTATAATTTAAGTACTACTATAACAGTATAAGTAATTATCAGAAAGAGTTGTTATAGAACAGTTTTATTTTAACTTTTATATACTAATTAGATAATTTAAAGTAAAGACTACTTTATTTAGTAGTATATAATTTTTACAAGCCTAGCATAGGCTTATAATTGTGATATTAGATTTAGCAAAATTATTTTGTTTAGTTCTTTTTCTTTAATACTCTTTTTACATCATCTTTTTTTATTATATGTTTTGTTTTATTATATCCTCTATATGTTTAAGTTTGTTTTTAGTTCTGAGTACTATTTTTACTAATTTTTCTTCTTGATAAACATGTAGCTGCTAGCTGATAAACAGAAAAAAGTCTTTAGTATATTAAAGACCCAAGAAAGACCAATTACTATTAAGTTAGATCACATCTGGTTTAAGCACAGATGAGCCTTTGTTTCGATTAAATTAGTTATAATCATAAATAAAAATTGTATATAATTTTTTTTTAAATAATTTAATCTTAAATAAACATGAGCAGAATAGCTGAATTATAGTAAAAAAATATTTAAAAATAATAAATTTATTATTAAATTAAAATTTTAAGGCTTAGTAAATATTTATAATAAAAACTATATATTAGTTTTATAAAATTATAATTGCACAATTATTAAGAAAAGATAGAGTATTATAATATATGTAAGGGGGCATCCATATTTAACGTTAAACGATGTTTGTAGTACCAGATGCATCCTGATGCAATATAAGCATACCGCTATGCCTAATATAGGGCAAGGTTGGTAAAGCTACGATTTTCGAAAAAACTGTTAGTTACAAACTTATAAATATACAAATGCATACTCGTCATATATGCTCATTCTGTAAGAGCACTTTTTTTTTTATAAATGTTTATTTATAGTTTTCTTTTACTGTAATAATAGATCCAGAAATTAATAAAACTATACTTCGGCCTACTTTTATACATTTCCATTTCTCCACCTACAAATGTCTAGTGATCCGAGTGATTAATTGGTTACATATTTGCGCAGGTGTGTGTTATTTTTATATTTATATAGTAAAATGTGAAAAATTATATAGATCCGGTGCTTTTAGTATTTAAGAGTTAAGGATCTGGTATTTTAGAGTTTATTGTAGGTTTCACTTCATAGTTTTTGGCGTCATCGTTTAGGTGCTCTTATGAATGTGGATTTCGTCATTTGGATGGTTCTGTCGCATCGTCACTTTATTGGAGCCTTAGAGTTATTTCCGGTGTTACTGTTGATATGGATTTTATCACTTGAGGTGGTTTCGTGTCGTCGCTTTACTGAAGTCTTCTGTTGCTCCGGGTTTTGTCGCTTCCGGTGTTAAAGATATGAATCTTGTTAATGTTATAGTGTCGTCGTCAGATTTAACTATAACCTATTCTGATGAAAAGAAATCAACTTCCCCACAAAACTTTCGCCAGTACCTGATGAAAAAGGTAATATGTTTTACTATCGACTGGTAGCCAGAAATGAGCCAAAAGCAAATTTGTATGCTACAAAACTCGGTCTAGAACTGTGTAAAGAGCTGAAACAACAAAATATAAAAGTTTCTAGAGGTAAGTAGTAAATAGCAGCTGTATTTCAGGACTTTTGGTAACCGTTGTATAACCCAAAGAAACTTTTTTTTATAAAGCTATCTTGACTGATCTATTGCTTGTGGTGGTTCTGTCTGGATGTGAAGTTCGCTGCTTGTAGATTAAGTGTAGATTTATTGTTTGTGCCATTGTTAGTTTCATCTTGTTTAGCAGATGCACTTTGCAAGAACTTTACACTAGTTAAACTAGTTCTTGTCTATTAATTAGCTGCTTGCATTTTGAGTTTCACTAGGATTAGGGAGAATTCGAATATTGTTATCAAAATAGACTTGGAATTTAATATAAGATAATGTTGAATATTGCTATTTGAATAGAATTGTAGCTGAAAAGATGAGCATAAAACATTTATTTATTATCAAATATCGGTAAGATATAAATGTTTATATTCTTTATTTGTGAACCTGTTTTGCTAATTTGATAATTACTAATAAATAATCTTTATATTCAACGCTGAATAAAATGGGTAAGGCGAATTAAATGATGATTCGAAGGGTATTATCGATAAGTATTTATTTTTTTTTATGCGTGAAACTTTTGTTGTTTCAATTACAGGCTGAATGAATTATTAATGCGAATGAAATTATTTAAAGGTACTAATTATACAATGTAAAGGTTTTTTTAGTTAGAAATAGGGGTTTTGATCTGGTGGTTAGGAGTAGGTTGAGTTCCTTTATCCTTTCGTTCACTATTTCATTGTTTATCTCTTCGGTTACCCTTTCGTTCATCTTTTCGGCTACTCTTTCATTCATCTTTTCGGTTACCTTTCGTATATCTTTTCGTTCATTCATTTGTATATTTTTTAGAGGTTTAGTTTAAGGTTATAACTAAAAATTAGATCCATTGTATTTTGCTTAAAGGTGAATTATGTATTTTAAATAATATAAAAATATTTAAATAAATAATAATAAATTTAAAAAATGTATTTATTTAAAGACTAAGTTTTCACTTTAATAAAGTTTTCGGATCCTTTATTTCTTAAGTGTTTTATTTTTTTCTTTACTATAATTTGGTTATATACATTTACTAAAATTCACTAAATTCACGTTCGATAACTCTTTTCCAATCCGTTATCTAAAGATGGGCAAGATAATAATTAAAGTAAATAATAATACTTTACTAAACTTGCCCATCTCTACACTATCTAACTCTATGCTCTTATTATTCTTTAATTACATTACTAACATCATACTTAAAACTGATTCCTAAATTAATCGATTCGTAATTGAGATTTGATCTATTTAACTGTTTGACCTGATCAAATTAAATAATTAAAACTCCCGGCCCTGATTAATTAATTAATTAAGTGATTTCACGTGGACATGCGACTATATTGAGCGATATTCATGTCCAGTTCTCAATAAATTTGAAGCTAAACAGAGAATTCTATTGAAGCCATTCTTTCATATAATACCTTATTGATACGCATTAATACACTCTAAATTAAGTATAATCATTGAGGTACGTACTAATTCAAAAAATAAATCTTATATTTACCATATTCATATCGACAAGAATCTCTTGAACGTGCTAGTCGCATTTAAAAAAAAAAATTAACTTAATATGCTTAATCGAGAATATCAATGCATTTATACTTCCATATTTATAATCAACAAGAA